AAAAAAACATTTGAAAGCAATCAAGACAAGGTGAGGCCAGAAGAGAAGGCAATGCCAGCCATGTTCAAACCCCTCTTCTTGCAATCAGGGAGTGGGACCCAAGTCCAATGCTTTCTCTTTATATCATAGCATAGCCAAATTATGTCCCAAATGCCTTCAAAGTTGGACATCAAGACAGCCCTAACTGTTCCTTGCCTTTCCTCTATACACCCAATTATAACCCCATAAGGCTTCTTAATCCTCCCAATTAGCCCACTTGGTACCATTGATATGAATTCCCAAGACATACCATTTGAGCTCAACCCCCACAGTTCTACAATTTCTAACATCCTTCTCCTTTTACTCGTATCGTCGACATCATCTGATCTAAGAATCATCATATTTCCATCACCGTACACATGTAATTGATCAGATACGTTCCCCCAACTGAATCCTACGGCCAACTGTTGCTCTTCCGCTCCCCTATGAAATCTCGGTCGTATAACCACCAGGTCGTCATCACCTTCGGATCCAAGGGCAATAAGGACACTTCCACTCATTCCATTAATGACACTAAGGAAAATATAGTCACCCCCTATTTCATTAACACATGGAAAATTCCGAACATTTCTTTTGCTTCTATAGATCGCCACTTGTCAATCTCCGAATTATACTCAAATAAAATTGGATGGCTTTCATGATATTCAATGTTAGCAGATATTTTAATATTATAATGTGTTATTGGTTTGATTTGTTTTCTTTTTCTCGAAGAATCCTTCAAGTCTTCTTTTCTAGGTCTCCATCCGCCAAGTCAAGTCAAGTCAAGTCTTCATCCTATTCTTATCCATCAAGTCTCCATCCTATTCTTATCCATCAAGTCTCCAAATCTTCCAAGGAAATTTTTTCCTTTCTTATTCACCAAGAATAACCCTCCAAGCTTTCTCTCCTATATATATTGAGTTATCTTCTTATCTTGGTGGGGTGAAGAAGTTTTGGTTGCTTTATTATGTCTTGTGTGAGATTATCAAGCAAATAAAAAAAGGTGTATGTGATAAAGCTTTGGGTTCAACCAATTGTGCAGTATTAGTAAACCATACGACTTAGTCGGACTGTTGTATCCTGGGGGGGACAAGTCAAGGTTTTTTTTGCTGCACCGGTGTGAGGCTTTGCCTAACTGCAGAGGGTTTGAATCTCCTTAAAAAGAGTGAATTTCCCGCGTCTCAGCCCTTATAATAGTTATTGTAACTTTTATTATTATTTGTATTTTCTGGTGTTTTATTTGTAATTATCACCAACAATTTTAAGGAGATTCAAATAACAAAAAGTCATGGAGCCAATACTGGAGAAACCCAATGAGAATACCGGCGATCTCAACAAGCCCTTCCGGTTCAAGGGAGCCCATTTCAAAAGATGGAAAGGAAAGGTGCTTTTCTACCTCAATCTCCTCAAGGTGGCCTATATCCTGATCGAGAAATATTTGAACAAAGTCCCCATTGAAGAGATGACTGACGAGGAGTATGCCGCTCATCTTGAAAAAATCGAGAAATACAACCCAGATGAGTATAAATGTCGGCATTATCTTTTGAATTGTCTTTCGGATCAATTTTATGATTATTATGATACTACTTATACCACTGCCAAGAATATTTAGAAAGCCTTGCAGAATAAATATGACACTGAAGAGAAAGGCGCTAAAAAATATGCTACAAGCCGTTTTTTCCGCTATCAGATGATAGATGGAAAATTAGTGGTGGAACAAGTTCAAGATTTTCAGATGCTAGTGGCTGAAGTTGAATCCGAAGGCATCAAAATTGGAGACAATCTTGTTGTAGCAGGTATTGTTGACAAACTACCATCATCTTGGAGGAATCCCTCCTGGAGCAGATCTCTAGTGGAAAGGTAGAGAGAGGCTTGCATGTGTACTCCAACTCGAGTGTTAGATACCGTGACCGTCTCTTCGTGCCGGAGTCTTGTCGAGAGGAAATACTCTGAGAGTTCTATCATTCACACCTTGTGGTGAATCCGGGGGGCGCAAAGATGTATCACGACCTTAGCCGCCAGTTTTAGTGGAGGGGAATAACGAAGGATGTGGCTATGTTTATGTCGAGGTGCCTTACTTGTCAATAAGTGAAGGCTGAACATCAGAGGCCAGCGGGTTTGTTACAGCCCTTGCCTATAGCTGAGTGGAAGTGGGAGCATGTTACGATGGATTTTGTTGTAGGCTTTCTGGAGACTCAACGAGGTAGTGATGCAATTTGGGTGGTAGTTGACCGGTTGACCAAGTTGACTTTATACCTATGTGTGTGAGTGACTCGGTAGATTATCTTGCCGACGTCTATATTAGGGACATAGTGAGATTACACGGGGTCCCTGTGACGATTGTCTCGGATAAAGATCCGCATTTCACGGCTCAATTATGGCAGAGCCTACAGAGTAAGGCACGAGATTGACTTTTAGTACTGCGTATCATCTCTAGACTGACAGACAGTCTGAGCGTACTATTTAGATCCTTGAGGATATGCTTCGGGGTTATGTTCTTGACTTTAAGGGGTCGTAGGATAGACATTTGCCCTTAGTGGAGTTTGCCTATAATAATAGATTCCAATCGAGTATTGGAATGGCACCATTTGAGGCCTTGTATGGTCGACCGTGTAGATCCCCTATGTGTTGGGCCGAGGTGGGTGATACACCTATGTTGGGTCCAGAGTTAGTCCAGGAAACAATAGAGAAAGTTGCACTTATTCGTAAGAGGTTGACTACTGCCCAGAGTCGCCAGAAAAGTTATGCCAACCATAGGAGAAGACCCTTGTCTTTTGAGGTGGGAGATCATGTCTTCTTGAAGATATCACCTATGAGGGGTTTGATGAGGTTGGGAAACAGTGGAAAGTTGTTCCCTCGATTCATTGGATCTTTTGAGATCCTTGAGCAGATTGGAGAGGTAGCTTATCGTTTGACTTTGCCGCCACAGCTTTTCAGGGTTCGCGATGTGTTTCATATTAGCATGCTCCGAAAGTATGAGCCGGATCCATTGCACATGTTGGATCGGACTGATCTAGAGGTAGATGAGGATGCCTCGTATAAGGAGAGACCAGTGAGAGTCTTGGATACTCAGGACCAAATCTTACGAGGCAAGACAATTCCCTTGGTTAAAGTATTATGGAAACATCACGGGATTAAGAAAGCAACTTGGGAATGTGAGTTGGAAGTCCGTCAGAGGTATCCAGACTTATTTGTTGATGTTTGAACATGTATTGAAATTTTGATTATGTTAATGAAATATGAAATATTGAATATGTTTTGAGAATATGAAAACATTGTATATGTTATATATGTTTTGGAAACATGGGTTTAATATAAACATTGTATATGTTTTGGAGAAATGTGAATGGTATTTTCAATGTTGGAACTTGTGTATCGAGTAGATAGAAATGGATGACCGGAGAATGGGTCACGGAATTGGAATTGATTAATTATCTTTATTGTGATCAGTTTAAACGTAGTTTTAAAACTTTTTTTGAAATTTCAGGGATGAAATTCCTTTAGAGGGGAGATTATAGTAATTCTAGTTTTAACCCAACCCTTTTGTATTCCAAACTCGGGTTTCATTGTTTTGTATTGTTGCCCATGTCTTGCTTCCTTTATACTTCCTTAAATTTGGCTATTGGATTGTAGTGGTTATGTTTGGAACAGGTTGATTGCTTAGTTTTCAAACTTTGTTACCCAGAATTTTACTCCTTCGCTTGAGTAGCACTTCTTACACTCGAGTGCACTTTTTGAATTCTCAGTAAGAAGTGCTTTCTGCACAAGAAAGGTTGCGTGTACAGAGACCAGAGAGTGTATCCTACGCTCGGTCTCTGTACACGCAACCTTTCTTGTGATCGAGCGTTGGTCTGTTATCTGCAAAACTACTGGGGGTGTGTATTCTGTGCTCGAGCGTCACTTTTTGCGCTCAAACGGAACAACTTATTGTATCTGACGCTCGAGCATCACTTTTTGTGCTCGAGCGCACTGTGCGTATATCAATTCATAGCAACTCATTTCTACATCACTTTTCATATTTTTTTTCTCTCAAAATCCTAGATCTAGAGCCTCTCTCTCTAAAACTTCCCCTCTCTCTACATTTTCACCTAGGTTCATTGGTTTCTCTACCCTAGTATCTTTGGGAAAAAGGTAAAGCGTCTCAAGAGCTTCACTTTGGTCCAAACAAAACTTGGTTTCGCCGTCTTTGAGGTTTTTTCCTTGCCTGGCTTGTCTTCTAAACTTGAGGTAGGGACTTTCTACACTCTTCTATGAGTTTTAACTTCATTATTTGTTGATGTGTAAGGAATATTGGAATTTAGAATGATTTTAAACAAACCTAAGGTTTTGGTTTAAAATCAAAAAAGGGGTTTTCAAATGTATGTATAAAAAATGGTTATGAGAGTAAATGTGGGGTTGTGTTGTGATAAATTTGTTGATTTTGATACCCGAGATGGATTTTGGAAGAAAATGGAGTTTTGCCCTAAAATGTCTCAAATAGTTATTTTGTATAAATTAATGAAATTGGTATTGGGAAAATGAAATTTGGTGGATGTTTATATAAATGGTGGAGTTGAATGTGTATTACCTCTCATCTATGGGAATTTGGATAATTAATTTGTCTTGGAGATTGTAAATCTGTTTAGAAATATCTGTTTTGGGCTATCGGTGGAGGATAGCTATAATTGTTATAGAAATTGCATGAGGATTAGGTGAATTGAAACTAATCTCTTATCTGTTGTCATTAAATATGACTATGTCTTTGATACATTGTAAATATATGATGTTTGGGAGAAGAAAAATGATGTACTCCATGTTTAGGAGAAGAAATGAGATGGACTCCATTGAATTAAGTTGGCCTGTGTGTCCAAGATGAAAGTCCAGAAAACCGGGCGTATACATGGGTGCCAATTTCCGCGGATGAAATATCCGTAAAATGGCAAAATGGAAGTATTTGTGCAATGGTTGTGTTGGTTAGAGACCCACTGAGTTGTACTCTCAATTTGGTTGTCTGAATGGAATGGTGAATGACTTATGAAATGAGAATAAAATGAATTGAGGTATAAAGCTCGGCATAACATGGTTCTGTAAAAAAGTTATAAATGATTTTATCATAAGCATTGGATATGTTTATCATACTTATATCTTTTGTTAAGATTTATACATTGTATTAGCTTGTTTCTACTGGGTTTTGGCTCACCTTATTTGGGAAAACCTTTTCAGGTATTATTGATATACCTCCGCCAAGGCAATAGCATGGGAGGAATCGAGGATGAAGGCTTCTCTTTTATGTATTATATTATTGTTTTGATTCAAGCCAAAAGCTTTACATGTGTTGGATTTATATCCGCTTTTGTTGTAACCAAGCATGGTCTAGGAAAGATGTAAACCTATAGGACATTAATTTAGTTAAACTCTTTTGTACGATTAACTCTCGTGAAATGAAAGAACATTATACTTTGATTCTTATTATTATTTACATATGGTCTTGGATGGATTTATGACAATTATTTCGGGGCGTTACAAAAAGAGTCCAAATTCA